GGATGAAGTAAGGGGTGGGGTGGGCAGAGGGACATGAAGTTGTATTGAGAGGAATGGAGCCATCCCCTCTTTCATGCAGGCAGGACTCATGACCTGTAACAGAGTTCTCTGGGATGGCATGGCTAGAGAGAGGAATTTGAGCTTCCTATTGAGTGATGGGTAGAGAAGGATAAATGTCCAGCCTTCAGATTCTGAAATGAAAGCAAAGCTTCAACATGTCTTTTCATCTCCAGAAAAGCCCATGTCTAGCCCATGCTAGTCCAGAGGCTGGACCAGTGTAGCAGCCTCTGAAGCACTGCTGCCTCCAGCTTCTCCCCTCCAATCCTTCCACTGCTCTGCTTTGCCACTGGAGTGATTTTCTAAAGTGTGACTCCAGCTGGGCTCCTACCGAGACAGTCTCAACCTCTCCTCTAGCTCAGGGGCTGGGCTGTTCATCTCTTCCCTCGCTGTAGAGCCCATAGGGTTTTTACCTGGTACAATTAGCCTCTCAATACACAAGAGTTGAATTGCATCAAACATAGAGCATTGCATATCTATATAGTCACATTTACACTATACAGAAGCAAAGACCTTGTGGCAGGAATAAGCTTAGCACAATTCAGAAACATCTAGAAGCCTCTATTAATGATGTCTGGGACCTGAGCTCAGATGTTATCTCATCACTGTATCTACTGGTGTGACCCAACCCTAGGCCCATCATTCAACCCAGCTTCAGTTCCCTCATCTATGAAATGAGGGTAGTGCCTCAAATGTTGTTACGAGATTAAATGTGATAATGTAAGTAGAACACCTGGTACCAGTAAAAGTTGAATTTGTTCATGCAAGCAATAAATACATATTTGGTGCCTGTTTGTCCCAGGGTCTGTTCTAGGAGTCAGAATATAGTAGGTAAGAAAAGAAAATCTGTCCTAATGGTACCCACACTTTAGTAGGAAAGATTGATAGTAAAGTTTCAAAATTATATGTGTGTACACATATGTATATGTGTATATATACATACTATATATATATACACACACACATACCACAAACATAAATACACACATCATACACACAGACATAAATTTCAGGCTGTGATAAGTGCCATGAAGAGAAATAAAGCAAGAGAAGGTGTTAGAAAGTTATTTGGCAGTTGGGACTCCTATAGTTGGGAGTGGCTGGGAAAGGCCTTGGTAAGGCAATGACATTTGAGTATAGACCTGAATGAAATTATCAGATGGCACATAGCATTAATAAATATTTGTTGAGTGTGGATGAATGCAAAGATCTGGGAGAAAGACATCCCAGGGAGAAGCAATAGGAAGTACAAAGGTCCTGGAACAGGAAGACACTTGTCATGTTTTAAAAGCATCAAGAAGGCTCTGTAGCTGGGGGTAGTGGCTCAGGCCTGTAATCCCAGCACTTTGGGAGGTCAAGGCAGGAGGATCGCTCGAATCCAGAAGTTCAAGACCAGCCTGGACAACATAGTGAGACCCCCAATTGCTACAGAAACTTAAAAAATTAGCTGGGCATCGCGGCATGTGCCTTCAGTCCCAGCTACTCAGGGGGCTGAGGTGGAAGAATTGCTTGATCTCAGGAGGTTCAGGCTGCAGTGAGTCATGATTGCACCACTGCACTCCAGCCTGAGTGACAGAGTGAGAACCTGTCTCAAATAAACAAATAAACAACTCTATGAATATTTATGCTGAAGTGTTTAGAGATAAAGTATACTGATGTTTATAACTTAATTTAAAAATCATTAAAAAATAAGATGGATAGATAGAGGGGTGGATAGATATATGATAAATCTAGCATTGTAAAATGTGCATAGTGGAATTTCACTGTGTTCCATGCATGTTCACTGTGAAATTCTTTCAACTGTACTTTGTGTTTGAAAAATGTCATACTGGGATGTTGGAGGAAAAACATCAAGAAGGTTAGTGAGGCAAGAGCAGATTGAGCTAGTGAAGGAGAGAGAGACAGAGAAGATGAGGTCTCAGAGGTCTCCGTGGCCGAGATCCTGGAGGGCCTAATGAGCAGTGGGAAGACACTGGGGTTTTGTTCCAGGATCCATGGGAAGCCTTCTGAGGATTTTGAACAGGAGAGTTTTATGATCTGATTGTAAGATTGTAAAGGACCCTCTAGGCTGCTGTGGGGAGAAGTGGCTCTACCTAAGCAAGTATGGAAGTGAAGAGGGTGTCATGGGAGGTGGTGAGCCATGGTCAGATCCAGGGGACAGCCTGAAGGAGTCGCTAATGGATGAGGTGTGCAGAGCCATGCCAGGGCATTGGCCTGGGTGAGCAGGTAGACAGTGGTTCCGTTTCCTGAGATGGGGAAGATGAGGGAATGAAGTAAGTTTGTGTAACAGAGTGTGGGAGAGTGATGAGGGGGAGAAACATATTCTGTTTCAGGCATGAGAAGCCCAAATAACAGACTTAGTAATAATCAATGGGAGCTGTTATTACTGTTTCCACCACACACACTTATGTAACGACTTCTGCAAACACACGTGCTTTCTCTGAGCTGGAGGTTCAGCCCTGTTCCTCCTGTTTTCTTTCCCTCACATTTTCTGCTCCCCTTGCTGCCCCACTCTTTCAACTTCAGGCCGCTGTCCAGTGACTGCTAGAGGCTCTGGTGATGGTAAAGGCAGAAACAAGGAACCGGAGGCAGCCCCTCTCTGCCCCTCTGAGTATCAGAAAACCTCTGCTTAGGTCAGCACCTTTCTTAGTTTGGGGAATCTGGGTCAGAGGAAGTCCCTGGGTGAACCCAGGAGCACACAGCTGTCTGGGCTCAGCTCCTGCCCTTGCAAACCCTGCGGCCTTTCTGACTCTTGTAACGAGGCAGGCAGATGGGCTAGCAGGCAGTTCCAGCACACGGCTGGATGTGAGATTCAAAGATGCTGCAGAGAGAAGGACCAAGATCTCTGTCTGTTTTACTGAGGATGTGACTCTGAGTCAAGATCTGAGTTTAGTGGTGCTGTCACTTCCCCACCTCCTTCCCTCCTTCCTTCTCTCCCATCACCTTGGTTAGAATAGCATTTAAAGACATTTGTCAGGTAGCCAGCTGGGGAAGCTGATTTGACTGTTTGAGGCCTGCTCCCTGTAGAAGGCTGCCTCAGTCACTAAGAGCTAAATACATCCCAAAGCCACTGCATCTTCTGGGGCCACAAGCATGGTCTTCTCGAGCCAGCTGCTTTCAGAGGGGAGCCCTGGTGCATGTGTGTGGTGGGGAGTGATGCGGCGTGAACAAGGGAGTTTCCTCCTGCTGCTCTTTGATTTTCCATGCCATCTGTGGCCCTTAGAAGTGCACCAGCCTCTGGTAACAACATGTGCATAACTCGAGTACTATGTGCCAGACACTGTTGCAAACACTTCATGTATATTAACTCACTTAATCCTTCTAATAACTCTGTAAGATAGGTTCTGTTTATTACCATTTCCATTTCACAGATGAGGAAACTGAGGCATAGAAAGAAAAATTAGGTATCCCAAGGTCACACAACTAAAAAGTGATAAATATTCTGAGCTTAACTATGTGATGGACAGGTGGATGAACAGATCAATGAAGACAAGATTGTCCACAGTGAATGGAGCAGATAGAGAGCCCCAAGAAAGCTCAGCATGGGGAAGCTATCTGCAGGCTAGAGAGAGAGAGGGGTTGCTTTTGTTATTCTTTTGCTCTATTAAAATAAAAAAAGTAAGAATTATAATGTTAAACATCTTTGTGCTTACTTTAAAATATTAATACCTATACAAAATCAGTTTTCCACCACATATGGACACTTCTTAGGGTAGAAACTATAAAACAGGTGGAATAAACTGTAGGCACAATCCCCTGCTCCCCAAAAAGTCTCTTCCCCAAATATCACTAGCTGTATGGTCCTTAAACCATACAGTTTAAACCACTTAAACTCTCTGCAGTTTAACATCTCTTCTCTGGACCCATCCCATAGGCCAAATCCACTAATAATCACAGTCATGACAGCTGCTGTCAACTGAATACCTGATGAATATCTGTACTAAGCTATGTGCTTTTGTACAAGAACTTTCGTTTGTTTGTTTTGAGACAGGGTCTCGCTCTGTTACCCATGCTGGAGTACAGCGGCATGATCATGGCTCACTGCATCCTCGACCTACCAGGCTCAAGTGATCTTCCTGCCTCGGGCCCTAGAGTAGCTGGCACCACAGGCACATGCTACCATGCCCAGCTAATTAAAAAAAAAATTTTTTTTGGAGATGAAGTCTCACTATATTGCCCAGGCTGATCTCAAACTCCTGGACTCAAGCGATCCTTCTGCCTCAACCTCCCAACGTGTTGGGCTTATAGGCATGAGCCACCATGCCCAGCCTCTCTTCCTCTTATAAAGACACCAGCCCTAGGATTATGACCCCACATTGTGACCTCATTTAACTTTAATCGCCTCATTTACATTAATTAAAGCCTCTATCTTAAATACAGTCACGTTGGGGGTGAGGGCTTCAACATATAGATTCGAGGGAGACACAATTCAGTCCTTAACAATGAGCTTTGAAGAGTCTGGGTATCCTTAAAAATCCTGTATTGGATTTTGCACAGATGAGAGTCTGCATACATGATGTGGCCTCTCAAAAGATTAAAAATTACTAAAAGTATTATAAATGACAAAGAGGAAAAGGGCTTATGGAAAAGTAGACATATTAATAGAACTTGTGTTAAGGGGTAGAAGAAAAAGAAAATTCTACAATATTGTCTTAATGAGCATTAAAAAGTAGAGAACAAGAAGGGCAGTGGAAAAGGAGGATGTATCAGCATCCTCTTTACATTTTGAGAGGTTTAATGGTTTGCCTGAGGTCACGGGGTGGAGGGTGGATCTGAGTCTAGGACCCCAGGATCCTGAGCCCCAGCCCACCAGGCGTTCTGTCCATGTTCTCACCAGCTGTGTGGTCTGTCCTTCCCCAGAGAAACCAGGGCCATCTGAGTGAGGCTCCTGAGCTGCTGCTTTGCTGACCTCAGATACGCTCTTTCCCTTGCTTTCCTTCCAGAAGTGGAGCAGATCGAGGCTATTGCCAAGTTTGACTACATGGGGCGGTCCCCGCGTGAGCTATCCTTCAAGAAGGGGGCCTCGCTGCTCCTGTACCACCGCGCCTCGGAGGACTGGTGGGAGGGCCGGCACAACGGCGTGGATGGACTCATCCCCCATCAGTACATAGTTGTACAGGACATGTGAGTGGAGTCGAGACTTCTGTGAAGAATGCTGAAATAGATTAGTGATGTCTGGAATGGGCACCGTAGGGGAGTGCTAGCTTGTATGCCGGCGATTTGCTCTCCTTGATATCATGCGCTTGGTCTTCTGTGAGAATGGGCAATATCTAACTTCCCTTTAAATGGTGATCCACTTAACAGATATCCAAATTCCTCCTTCTGAGCACACAGAAACAGTGTTGGGTGCCTCTGGCCTACATCCTGATGCAACTGACAGCCCCCAGGGCGTCCCATCACCCTGAATCAGTATCCAGGGGATCCTGCCATGTGCCTCCACCTCCTAGGCCTCCCCTGCCTACCGTTCTACACTCCAGAGGTAGCTCTCTTAGGGGATGGGCAGAAACATGCCCTTGTTTCTGATTAATAGGGTACTGTTTTTCAAAAAATAATTTCAGGGGTTAATAAAAAAGAGCCCTGCATCCCAAATGCCTAGTCCTACCACAAAAAGTCTGCACTTTCCATTCCTTTGAAAGCCATGGAAGCTTCCAGTGCATACATTCCTTGGGAGCTCTGGTCAGGCTCGGCAGAACAGATTTACCGTACATGCAGCCACCAAGCTGAGCCTCAAGGGAAGAGGATTAAAAGCCCACATTGTGATGGGAGAGAGGAGGTCTCAGCCAGAGAAAAGGCCAGGGCCAAGCAGACTGCCAGAGGAATGCCATAGTGGAGGGCCCTCGGCAGCCTCCCGATGCCCCCAGACCTCTGAGATCAGGGACAAGTCACCACGGCAGAGAACCATGGAAGGAGGCCAGCAGAGCACCCCTACAAGCTTGTGAGCCACGTCACAGTGGCCCAAGCCCTGGGTGGGGAGGTGAGGGGCAGAGGCAGCTTCTTCCTCCCTTGCTTAGCCAGAAGCTATTTCTCATGGAGTCACACAGAGTCTCAGCACTCAGCCCTTGGTGCTCAGCCTGCAGACTCCATCCCCCCATTTCTCCAACACATGCTGCAGCATTTAGCTTGTCCTAGCCTGGAGTTGCCCGGGAATGAACAAGCTAGAAGAGAAAAAAGGAGGAGGTAGGTGTGGGACAGAAGAGGGTCCCAGCTGCGGAAACTGACCAGGAGTGTTGCAATGGGCATGCATGGTGGGAAGGCACCCAGTGGGCAGTGGCCTAGCAAGCACTGTGGGCACAATGTAACCATAAGTTGTGTTAATTCAGCCCCTCAGACATGTATCAGGGAGCCCTGTATATGCTGGGTTCTCTGGGGGAAGGCGCCTCCAATTCATGTCTGTCTTCTCCCCAGGGATGATGCCTTCTCCGACAGCCTGAGCCAGAAGGCTGACAGCGAGGCCAGCAGTGGGCCACTGCTGGATGACAAGGCCTCCTCCAAAAACGACCTCCAGTCCCCCACAGAGCACATCTCGGATTACGGCTTTGGGGGGGTGATGGGCCGGTAGGATATGCGGATTCATTTTTTCCCTGCTAGTGTCAAGCCTGTTCATGTCTGATTTGGGAGAAGCACAAGGGCAGAGAGGAGAGAAGGAGCCTACTGCAGCCCCCTGTTCCCCACAAGATACGATGGGCACACTGGGCAGGCTGGCTGGCACTGGCCCAAGGCGGCCAGGTATAAAACAGTCCAGCCTGTATTGCTGGGAGGAGGAGGAGGAAAGACATGTGTTGGGAACTCAGTGCTTTTTCGTTTAAAATAATAATAATGTGTGAGAGAGATACAAATTGGCAAGTATTTTTCCTACCTCTCTCCAGTTCCTGCACCTCCTTCCAGCTTTCTGTTGTAGAACTGAGTTGTTATATTTAAAAATGTAAAGCTCACATATTCCCTGAAATGCACTACATAAACAGAAAACTCACACCTACTCATGTGTTGAAGGAAATTGACACTCGACTCCACCCACTTATTTGGAGGGAGCAGTATTACCAATTTTTTCGCTCCCTATGTGTGGGCCGGGCTGTGTCACGTGACCTTTCTACCAGGCAAGGAGCTGTGCATGTCATTCTGAAGAACAGGTATTATCCAAAGTATATGATTATTTTTAAAAAATTAATGAGGAAATAAGAAGAAAAGAAAAGCAAAACTGACAGTTTCTCACTGCCTTTTTAGTCGCAGTCTCAAAATGTCATATTCTGTGTTTTTTCCAGTGGAGGGGTCATGTGATCAACCTACACGTGTGGGTATTTGCAGATAGGCCCCCCAAAAAATTCAGTCGCAGTGGGAACACACAATTTATGAACTTATTTCAGTAAAAATCCTGATGCCTCTTTTCTGCAAATTCCATTCAGTTCAGCAGATAGCTCAGGGCACTATGGTAGAATTGGGAAGGTCAGGGAAGTGGAAGGCTGGGGTAGGTAGACAAAGAAGTTATGGTCCCCTGACTTCTAGGAGGACCATATCTTCTGCCTCTCTTTTCCTTTCCCTCATCCCTCCCTCAGCTCCTTCACTCTTGTTCTTTCTTTCTAAATACTGCTTCCTCTCCAATACCTATGCTTTGGTTCTGCTGGGGCACCCACAAGCACTGCTTAGCTCAGCTGGTGGCACTAGGATCTGAATCACTGCTGGTCCCTAGTCATCATCCATTCCCAACACACGGTCCCTCTTCCTCTCCCCTCACCACGTCTAGCCCTTCAGACTCTTGGTGACCTCTGTAGGATGCAGCAAAATCTCCTGTGTATAGAACCTCTTATCTTCAAGGTGCTTTCAAACCCACTTGAAGCAAAGGTAAAGGGTGGGCAAAGGATCTTACTTAGACCCACTTAACAGATTAATAAAGTGGGCTTGAGAGAGGACACAGGAAAGCATGCGGCAGACACAGGGCAATAACTCACCCTCCTGAAACACACCCTAATCCCCTTTTCACTGCACCAGAGCCTCCCTGAAGTGGGAAAGGTATCCAAATGCACAAAAGGGCTGTCCAGCCATGCAGGGTTTACTCTTGAATGACTAGTTTTCAAAGATACAAAAAAGCCTCATAGAAGGAGCCCTCTTCTGGAGAGATTGGGGGTTGGGTGGCAACGTTAGAGTGTCTTCAGCTCCCATGGGACCCCTCCTGTGCTTGCAGGGTGCTGGTAACTTTGGTACAGTCAAGCCTCAAAGCTTCAGACCAGTTAGAAGCCCCTCAGAATCATGGAAATGTCTGAACTTTTTCAGAGGGTATCATGAGCCCAACTAACCATCACCAAAGCGTTTCCAGGGTTGGAATCCTGTAGGCCTTGACTTAGCATGTAGACCAGATGCATTTTGCGGTTGGCAGCACAGCTGTCTGTGGCCTGGAAGCACCGTGCTCCAAATGCTTTTGTGTTTGCACATTAGACCTCCCCCTGCTGCTGAGCTGTGTGCTGAGCCAGGTCTTTCATTGTGGAATTATGGGGTCTGGCTGAATGAGGCTTTACTGTACCCGCTCCTTAGACTAGCGTGTAGTGTGTGGCATGGGGTTGACTCACCCATTCTGAGACTTGCCAGGCTTGACCTCTGCCCCATGCCCCTCGCCCCCTGGCTCCTTTGCAGAGTGCGGTTGCGATCTGACGGAGCGGCCATCCCCAGACGCCGAAGCGGGGGCGACACACACAGCCCGCCCCGGGGCCTGGGCCCCAGCATAGACACGCCACCCCGGGCCGCTGCCTGCCCCAGCAGCCCCCACAAAATCCCCCTCACCCGGGGGAGGATCGAGAGCCCTGAGAAGCGGAGGATGGCGACGTTCGGGAGCGCTGGCAGCATCAACTACCCTGACAAGAAGGCGCTCTCCGAAGGGCACTCGATGAGGTCGACCTGCGGTTCCACCAGGCACAGCAGCCTAGGGGACCACAAGTCCCTGGAGGCCGAGGCCCTGGCAGAAGTAAGGGCCAGCGGGAAGGCAGGCTGGGCAACCAAATGCCCCAGAGGGCAGCGGGTGGGAATCCGTGGAGCGGAGAGCCACCTTGGCCTTTATGCCAGGCTCATGGCTAAGCCAGAGAACAGGAGAGTGAGTGGCTTCCCTGTCCCTTGCTGGGCTTCCCATGGGAATGGAGACTGGTTGGGAGCAGCCACGGCTGGGGTTCCTATAGAGGCTGAACACCCCCAGTGTCCAGGGCTGGAGAGGGCATTGGCCAGATTATGGGGCTGGGGTAATGGCAGGTCACTACACAAAGTGATATAATTCAGTTTTTCACTCATTCATTCACTCATTCATTCATTTCTCTCTTCATTCATCTATTCATTGACAAATATTGATTGAGCATCTATCATGTGGCGGTCACCATGCTAGCCACCAACAGTACAATGAAGACCTAAAATGGACTCAGGCGCTGCCCACATGGAGCTTACAGTTTAAAGAAAGAGACATCAACAAATACACACACGTAGTTGTGAAATAGTTGTTTGATTGAGTGCCTTTAAGGAGTGGTCCAAAGTATTTTGAGAGCCTAAAATGTGAGGATTGCACCTAGGCACAGAGAGACTTCTCTTGGGAGGACTTGATCTGAGACCCAAAGGGTGGGCAGAACTAAATAGCTGAAGCTGCAAGAGAAGAATGTTCCAGGTTCTTCTCCAGTACTTAGAGAGTTGGCTTTTGTTTGTTTGTTTTGTATTTGGATGAAGCAATCTATATGATTTTTACATTTGCCAAATGAATAGAACTGTGATTTGTTTAACAATTTGCATAGCTGGTTTCATGTGCTTTTCGACAGTTCTATCATATTTTGAGAAGTTTCCACTTTTTTGTCTCTGGAATTTGGTGTGGAGGCCCATTATGTACCCTCTCCCTAGTGTTCTCTCCCATGTAAGGTAACAGAGACAATCGGAACCTTCTGGTCTGTGAGAATTTTACTGTGGAGAGTGGCCTTTGAATCCCTGTTCAAAAGGAGAAGGAGGAAGGGTGGAGAGCCATGAGCTGTGTTCTAGAGGAGGCCAGGCAGGGTTCCCAGGGAATACCCAACACAGAAACAGCACACCTAGCAATGAGTACTCCGGTTCACACCAGCAGGCTCTAGTTTGGCCCCATGCCCATTCCCAGGGGTCCCTGAAGATCAGTGCCTTCCAAGGAGGCATGCCAGCTGCTGGTCCCCCTATACTTTAGGAAACATGACCCTAGTACCCACCATCATGTGGAAACTCTACCAGTCTAGAAAGTTCTACCAGTTATGGTAGAGGATGGCCTGAGGCCTGCCCCAGGGCCCTTTACATTTATAAAGAATCAAATGTAGTCTAGAAAACTGTTTCTAAAAATAGCTGTCACAGCAGAGTAGTTCCACAGGATGCTAGGGAGTGGGTAGGGAATACATGTTCTGTGGTCAGCAAGGTTTGGGGAATGCTGCTCTGACAAAGTTGAGTGGCTTCTCTGTGAGACTTCTTGTAAAACCTTTAAAGCCGGAGCCCCCAGCCCCCGGGCCATGGATGGATCTGTGGCCTGTTAGGAACCAGGCTGCACAGCAGGAGGTGAGCAGCGGGAGCCATTATTGTGTGAGCTCTGCCTCCTGTCAGATCAGCGGGAGTATTAAATCCACATAGGCCGTGAACTGTATTGTGAACTGCGCATGTGAGGGATCTAGGCAGTGCTCTCCTTAGGAGAATCTAATGCCTGATGTGAAGTAGAACAGTTTCATCCCGAAACCATCCTCCTGACCCCTGTCCGTGGAAAAATTGTCTTCCACGTAAACGGTGCCTGGTGCCATAAAGATTGGGGACTGCTGCCTGAAAAGATATGCATTGTGAATCTCCAAGAAAGAAAACAGGGCAGGCCCCATATCCCAGACTTCTTTGACCTTCATTCATGGAGCATGTTACAAGACCTGCCCCTAGAATGTACTTGGGGATTGCTGCATGTGTTCTCAGTTTGCAGACGGATCTGCACCCTCTCTAGTTTGACAGCTGCCATCCAAGACCCCCTTTCACTAACAGAGGTCAAATAGGGAATTGTGGTAAATGATATGTAAATAGCCCACTGCCACTGGAGAGCTTCCAGCCTCGGCATTGGCTCTGATGAGCCCTTGGCTTTGCAGGCTGCAAAGGGGAGTGGCAGCTGAAGAACCCCAAGTAGTAGGTCGAGTGACCCAAATTTCTCTGGTCTCAAAATATCCCTTATGATTTAGATGTGAACCCACTTAAAAAGGCTCTTTGTGGAACTTGCAACATGACCATCCAAAGTGGGAAGATCGAATTGAGGAGGAGATGAAAAGCAATTGTGGTCCCCACTCTGTCCCCTAGGGCCTCTCTGCCGCTCAGCTCTGGAGACTCACAGCATCACCTCTCGGACTAACGCAAGGCTGCAGCCTAAACAACTCAGCTGATCTTTTTCTGAGCTTTCTGTCTTTCCGCTCACTCTGCTGGGGTAGGGTGGGGGTGGGGGGGTGGTGATGGTGGTAGAGGGGCAAAAATTACATTTTATTTATTAAAGTTTCACCTTGCAGCTCATGCTGGACTAGAGCAAATAGAGAGTAGTGAGGTCAACAGGGAGCTTCCTTCAAGCAGAGTGGTTGATGATTGGGTGACTCGGCTCCAGGAAAGTGGGCTGTGTCACTGCAGGGCTGGCACATAGCAGAGAGGGGGAGGGGTCTGCCTTCCCTCCCTTCCTGCAGAAAATTGCCCCCAAAGCACCTCCTTTTGAATAAGGCACAAAAGACCCTTTCTTAAAGTTGCCAGTGTTCTGGGGCAAGGGATGAAACATCGTGGAGAAACATACAAGCTAATATTAGCCATTAGCCAGACATCCATAGTCCCCTAACAAAAAGGATAGGCTGTGACAATGAGGGGAGAAAGAGCTCGGGACCCTGACCCCAGCCAGATTGAAGCCTGCCATGGGGCCTAGGGCAGGCAGGAAGCCACCTGCAGACAGGGGAAAGAGAATGTAAAAGACCAGGGTAGAGAAAGGGGCCGGCCCCAGCATCTCCAGGCTCCATCCCCACCATCTGTTTCACCAGACTCATACTTTTTATTTTTTTTTAGGATGTGCAATAAAGCAAGCCTGTCTTAATAGTCATCATTCCTCCATGAGGTTATGCACAGCACCTACCAGTGGTGGCTTAGGCAGTATCCCTCACGGTGCCCTCGATCACTAAGCCAGCTGGGATCTGGCCCAGCTGAGCCCGAGCAGCTCCTCTCACGTCTGTGGGATGCGGAGGCATCCCTGTCAACAGTCATGGGAACCCGTGGGGCTCTTGGGCTAGAAGGATTTTGTAAACCACCGTCTGGCAGTTTACAAAGCTTCATCACATCCATTATCTCACCCCATCTTCACAATAAATGTCTGGGATTGTAATAGATGAACAAAATATGGTGCAGAGTGATCGAGATTTGCTCAGGGTCACACGGTCAGCAACTGGCCACAGAGTCTTTTTACTCAAAAGTCCAGGGCCCTGTGGCCTGTCCAAGGGCTCTTGGGTTAAATGCTGCCTACCAGCTACAGCACCACCTTGGGCATGAGGGGACAGGAGCTGAGGGAAGCTGCCCTGGGGCATGATGAGCCCAGGCTGCCCTGGGCGGTGGGGAGCTCTCTCTCTTTGAGTACTTCAGACTGCTGTCCTCCTGATGAGCTCTCAGATATTATAACATCCTCGGGAATTATGTAGGCAGAAGATTTTTCTTGCCTGTTAAAATTTCCACTTTTTAAAAAACAAAATTTTCTGATTATAATACAGAGAAGAGAGTAGCAGTCCCTCTATTCTGGGATGGGCACTGTGAACATTCTGATACATAATCTCCAAGAAATTTTTCTGTGACCAAGGATTTTTTTAAAAACTAAAAGTACTGAACTGCCTGGGTTCAGACTTGGGCTGTGCTGCTAATTAGCTGTGTGACCTTGGGCAAGTTACTTAACCAGTCTGAGCTTCCGTTTCCTCACGTGTGACATGAGCATAAAGGTAGTTCCTACCTTAGAAGTGTGAAGATTAGCCGGGCGCGGTGGCTCAAGCCTGTAATCCTAGCACTTTGGGAGGCCGAGACGGGCGGATCACGAGGTCAGGAGATCAAGACCATCCTGGCTAACACGGTGAAACCCCGTCTCTACTAAAAAATACAAAAATCTAGCCGGGCGAGGTGGCGGGCGCCTGTAGTCCCAGCTACTCGGGAGGCTGAGGCAGGAGAATGGCGTAAACCTGGGAGGCGGAGCTTGCAGTGAGCTGAGATCCGGCCACTGCACTCCAGCCCGGGCGACAGAGCAAGACTCTGCCTCAAAAAAAAAAAAAAAAAAAGAAGTGTGAAGATTAAATGAATTATTAGGGGACAGGGTTTGGATAGGTGCTTAGTGTTAGCTATTATTGCTACTGTTATTGTCATTAGTATTTTTGAGTGCTTACTCTGTGCCAAGGGTCACACCAGGCTCTTCACAGGGACTGTATCATTTAATGCACTCATCAACTCCCTGAGGTCCATATTATAATGATGTGCCATTTACAAATGAGGATTCTGGAGGCTCAGAGGGTGAGGGAACTTGCATAAGGTCACATAGCAAGGGAAGTGGTAGAGCCAGGATTTGAATCCGTGTCTGTCTGACTCCAGAGCCTGCCCTCTTTGTCAGTAGTGTGACCTGCCCTTACTAAATCTATTTCCTGTGCAAGGCAGCATGCAGGGGATGTCCACATTGGTTCTCCCATGGGATTATAAGACATCCTGAGGACTTAATCTCCATCCCTGCCGCGAGGCTTCTGGGGAGCCTCCCTAAGAAGGGAAGCTGCTTAGCAGACAGGAGGGACATGACTCCAGGTCTCCAGACTCTGCTGACCCCAGCTCTCTCTGTCCCCAGGACATCGAGAAGACCATGAGCACGGCTCTGCACGAGTTGCGGGAACTCGAGAGGCAGAACACGGTCAAGCAGGCGCCAGATGTGGTGCTGGACACCCTGGAGCCCCTGAAGAACCCGCCAGGCCCCATCAGCTCGGAGCCCGCCAGTCCCCTTCACACCATCGTCATCCGCGACCCCGATGCCGCCATGCGCCGCAGCAGCAGCTCCTCCACCGAGATGATGACCACCTTCAAGCCAGCCCTGTCCGCCCGCCTGGCTGGCGCCCAGCTCCGCCCGCCCCCCATGCGGCCCGTGCGGCCGGTGGTCCAGCACCGGTCCAGCAGCAGCAGCAGCTCGGGCGTGGGCAGCCCGGCCGTGACGCCCACCGAGAAGATGTTCCCCAACAGCTCAGCGGACAAGTCGGGCACCATGTGACCTGCAGGATGGGCCGCACCGCCATGGCCCACTGTGGCTCGCCACGGCCCAGGGTGGCCTTGGTGGCTTCCATGTGCTTCCCAGTGACCCTGGCCTTGGAGGGCAGAGGTCAGTCTGGGAGGGTGTGTCTGTGCAGAGCTGAGGCCCAGGCACTGGCTGCAGCTCACGTCCAGCCATGGGAATCCTACAGACCTCTCGCGTGTCAACAGATGCCCAGAGGAGTGCTGGAGCTGGAGCAGCCCCAGCCACAGCATTTCCTAACATGGAGGCAAAATACCACATGGCTTCTCCCGCATATCATCACTGGAAACTTCCTCTCTCGACATTCTCTCTACATACCTATATGTGTGTGTATATCGACGTGTGCATATATACACATGTATATGTATGTATGTGTCTGTAGGTGTGTGTATATATATATATTTATGCATCTATATACATATACTAGATCTGGACACACACATACTAAGTGTATATAGTATCTCCTTTTTCTTTTTATGAAACTTAGATTTACCTCAGACCCATGCCACCAAACATCTCCCGCCGAGTTATTTGGTGGGATTTGCAGGGACTTTTCTGGGAGAACTTAGAGGCCCATAGTAACTGCGAATGAAGCAATATACCACTAACCTGCAGAAAAACACAAACGAAAACAGACTCCCACTGTCTCCAGAAGTCGTGGCCTTCCAGAACAGTCTGCCCCTCAAGGAAGGGTGAGGCAGGCAGTACCCCCAAGCAGGCTGCTCCCAGAGGTGGGGAACCCTTCATAGGAAACCCCCACCCCCGTCCACCCCAGAGACCCTGCCCTTCCACCCGGAGGCCAAAGGCCAACAGTACTCCCAAAGGCATGGGAGAAAGTTGGCGAGAAGACCCCTGACTACCACATCCTTGTGTTTGTGTGTAGAGGCAGGGGATAGTGAGAACCTAAGCCCCATCATAGCACAGTATTACATGTGGTTGGGAAAAAGGGAAAAATAAAAATACAGTGGTGTGGAATACTTCAAAACCTAGAAACGCTGTAGGAATAAATCTGTGGTAACTATAGAGGTTTAACTTATATCATTTTCAAACTATTTAATTTTTTCTTTTCCTGGTTCTACTAATTATACTGTGTCAGATTTGGAACTAAACAGGCAAGGAGACTTTGAGTCACATCGTTTTCATTTTAAATCAGGCTGTGACGCACTGTGGCTGGTGCCGTCTTGCATGAAACGCATGAGCCGTGAGCGCCCAGTTCAGACTGGGGCCAGGGAGGGGCAGTCCTTGACACTTTCTGTCCTAGAGGACACTGTCGGTTGAGTTACTACAAGTGACATAGCTTCCCTTCCCTCCCTCTTCACTCACTCCCTCCAGAACATTTAGTGTAGGTGAAAATGTGGTGATAGAAATGGGTGCATGATCTTCATGTGTAACAGCAAGGCCTTTGCTTTTTGGCCGAGTAAAGCCCTTCCGGGTCACTCTCCTTTGATTTCATTTTACCTCCTCTTCTGATCACTTCCAGAGATGAGCTGTTTCTGGATAATGGCACATGGGCGAATCTGTGTGCCCTGTAGGCCACTGTTACTTACCCTCTCCTGCCAGACCTGGGGGCTTTTCCCTACTCTTCCCAAGCTTCCTCTCTCTCGAGGCCAATGAAGTTTGAAGTCAAAAGGCCCAGAGTCTGAGTCCCAGCCCCAAGCACTTAGGAGCCTTGTGACTTAGGGTTTGTCACTTCACCTCATTGAGCCTGGCTTTTCTGCTCCATAAAATAGGGTAATAAAGGTCAAACAGCAGTGAGCAAGCTGTGTACACTGGAAAACATTGAATAAATACAATGCTCTTGTGATTGTCATTAGTAAGGTAAGTCTTAGATCAGAACCCTTCAGCCCTTCTATTTGAAACCTCCCAATGGTATTTCAGAAGTGAGCAGTGGAATTTTCCTGCCATCTTAATAAGAGCCCTGGATTCCATCATTAACATTTCAGCCCATTGGATTAAGTGGTGCCTTCTCCTCTGGTCCCTGACAAAAAGGTAAATACACCCAAAGGGAGGGACCTAGTTAAGTCACTGGCACCTAGATGTGTTAGGAGGGTAAAGCCACTCTACCTTGTCTGAAGGACTGGACTTGACACCGCACAATGGAAGGGAGCATCAGGAAAGGAACAGAAAAAGGATCTCAGGGAGAGGCCGGTGTCAAACTTGACCTCCCTTGTTTGGCCTAGAATGAACCCTTCTCTTTAGCTCCTGGATATGAAAGGCCATCTGCCTTGGAGCACAGAAAGCTATTGCCATTTTACAGCTTAAGAGAGTAAGGCCTTGGGCTATGCTGTGACCTGCCCAGAATTTGACACTGGTTAAGAGCAGAGGCTGCGTTAGGCTCTTAAAGTCATGTGTTCACATGCTGGACGCCATACTGTCCAGCCAGGACACAAGACTTCTGATTTCTACCCTCAAGATACTCCCAGATCCTAAATCCAGTAGCCTCCCAGGCAAAATATAGCAATCTCTGCCACAACTACCAGATTAAAAGCAACAATCAGAGTAGAAAAATCTGTTGCCTGATATACATAACACCAATCAGACCATGTGGATTTTTCTCTGAATTGACTGATTTTGTTTTTTTCTTACTGAAAATGGACCTGCCTTTCACTGAATTTTCTGAGGGCAGAGTCTTAGCTGTTTTCTTTAAGCACCTATTTTTTTTTTCCATTGGGAAATGGCTGATGAGTTCACATTTAGGGATGTACACACGCAGATGGCAGACGTCTCCTCACTCATCCAGCCCCAAATCTGAGCCTTGACGCAGGCCAAGTGGAAAAATACTTCCCCGCCCCCCTCCCCTGTTCCCGCTTCCTCATCTGGCACTATGCATGTCTCAGTCACCCTCCACAGCACTCAGTGCCATCAACGTTCCCTAAACATTGGCCTTCTCTTTCTGACTCCTGCCTGTTTTAGTCCACTATATATTGCTGTATTTGCTTAAATGCTGGAAAGTAACTGTTAAAATGTGAAATTGTAATTTTTAAAAAGGCTACAATTAAATTTTAGCCAATGCCACTCACCAAATCTTTGCACCTAGTAGATAGATCAATGTAAAAACAAATACCTAACTGTACAGTGAGTGTGGGGGAAATGTAGTAACCTAGTTAGTAGTCTTCAATATAACCAATTGTACAAGGGGAAGTGGTGTTTACTTACTTGTTCATCACCATTATTGAAAGCCGTACTGATCAGTTAGTTGACAACGGGCATTTTTTTTTTCTTTGCTTCATGGAATGATTTCTTTTCTTAACCTTCGACTTATCCTGAGGTCAAGCCTTTTGTCTTTATGTATAACCGATGTTCAATCTATTTTAGGAATGAACCAGCAAGTTGTTCATTTAAAACTGACCAAAGACAATTAATTCCTGGTCTAGTTTCCTGGGCCTTGTGGCTCAGTTGCCGCTAAAGAGCTTTCTGGATAAAATTGAGAACAAGCTGTGCTTCCTACCCCACTCTCCCCCTCCCCTTTTATTCCCTTTTCCTCTTAAAGAGCTGCTCTGAGCTGTGGGATTCTATGAAAAATTCTTGCCTTTCCTTGTTTCAGTGCTAACGATTTCTCACCTTGAAGCGCCTTTTGAACCCCGGACAGAGTGCACAATTGGAGGGAATTGCGAGCTTGGGAATTAGACTTTGGAGTCTTTTCTCTGAAGTCACCAGGCCAGGGGTCAGGAGAGAGATGGATTCCCAAGGGATGAAAGGTTTCTATTCAATGAAGAAATCGGAGTGGGAAGAGACACAGGGAAATTGAGCCATATTTTGGCTATCGGCTGGAACCAGCAGTTCAGAGATCTGCCTTATAAACACTTAAAACTGGTTTGTGGTACACAAAGAGGAGCCAGTGTGGGAAGGGGCCTTTATGTGGGGCTTTCTTCTCTGTTGGAGTCCCTTGGAGTGCCTTGTTGGGTATATTTCTTTGTCATTCAGGAGGCACGAATGTGGAGGACTTCTCGTGACCTGGTCGTGATATGGCACTCAGTGCATGTACACAGCTAATGGAAAAACATGAGGACTCGGGTAATGGTTCTTCCTCTCAGTCTTTCTATTCCTAACTTTTCACACATCCAGATGGTTCCACACTAGAGCAAATGCCTCATTCTCCTGAGAAACCCAGAAAGAAGAGTGGCTGGCTCACAACCATGGGGTTGGCCCCTGCTGGGCTGGGAGTCGGGGTGGTGGCTGGGAGGAAAGGCAGAAAGGGGTGAGCCGAGGTGTTGCCTAGCTGATTTTCTGCTGTGCAGAGCTAACGCTGACATTTCATGTCAACTTCCCCGGTTCTCTGGGGTCTCCTCTCCTCTGAGCAGCCACATAGAGCATTCCCCACATATCCAAAGCTGCCCAGGGGAGCTGAGAGAAGGGACTTTGCTGTCAGGTCCAAGCCCTCCTGACCTCCCTGAGATTGATCTGCCAGTGTCCCACTGTCCCTCTGGGACTGGCCACATGGCCATTGCTGCCCCTTGTTGACACCTCCTTTCTGTGTGAACTGTCCCCGGCAAATAACAAAGCTGTTCCTTGAACCAGAACAACCAGAGTGCACTTTTCCTTCCTTAGACGGAAGTAGATCCTGGCTAGGGTTTCTGCCCAGGCCCTTGTTCCCGGCAGTGTGACTGTTTACATGGTTTGGCAATAGGTTTGATTCTGATTGCTTCAGAGTGGCTGGTCTATTTTGTTTCCTTTGGTTTCCTTCCTCCCCAAATTGTGACAGGAAAAACAAACCAAAACCACCCTAGGAAATTGCTGGTTGCCTGTCCCCACATGATGATAAATGTTGCCCTCTTCTGGATATCGTTTCTCTACCTTACGACCAAACGCCCGTCCTATAGAGTGTCTGATTGGATCCTCTGTCGCGTATTCTGATGGTGCCTGCTGGTTTGATGTGGAGCTATCCTGTGAAATAAAACAGCTTAACTTTTCTCAAACATGCTCCAGTGGTTTTTGAAAGGGCGAGGTGGCACATCAGGGGTGGAGAGGTCCTGGGGGGACTCCCCGTCCTCCAGTCCACACTGTCTGCCTGCTTCCCCTAGGAACCACCTTTGAAATGTCCATTAGCTCAGATCCAACAAGGTGAAAGTAAGGTTACAAGGAGGACCACTTCTATTGTAGCGCTAACTGAAGAAGGTAACTAACTGTAGGATGATTCCTGGGAAAAGAGGGTTTGGAAATGTCAAAGCAAAGGCAAGTTGGGAGTAGTAGCTGTCATCTGCAGAAAGTGTCTTCAAAAGTTTAAGATAAATTGTCAGAGGCCACTGGGTACTGATGCATCAAGGCACATGCAACATTTTGATGTTCATTGTCTACAAATGTCATACAACCTCTTGGACTTTTGTTTTTTACCTGTGTGTGTTTGTGAACTGTTTGTTGACCACTTATTTCTGTCCCAGCCACTATATTAAACCCTTTACCCGTATTTTCTCATTTAATTCTCAATACATCATTGAAGGTAAGTATCATTATTATACTATGTCCTGCAGATGAGGAAACTGAGGCTCTGAGAGGCTAAACAGCTTGCCCAAGGTTAGGCTAGGAAGTGGAGAAGCCAGAATTTGAATTCAGTCTGCCTAACTCCAAAGCCATGCTCCTTATAAGTTTGTCATACTGCCTCTGATTTGAGCATTGTACTCATTATAGCAGGATTAGGGGCAGGATTTCATGATGAAGGTAGCTTGCTGCTCGTTGCAGTCAAGGAATACTTCAGGGCCTTTGCATCCTGCCAAGACTTTGCATCAGGAAAGAATACAAGTTGCCCAAAGGAGATTGTGGGGCTGCCCATGAAAAATGATAAATGGTGATGGCTTTCAGTCTCTCTTTGTGATGAAACCTCTGCTGGGTCTTCATGGAAGGGTCTCTTTGCAGCCTCAGTGACTCATTCCCACCAAAAACATTCATCACTCAGTGATGGTCTCTTGCTAATTCCAGACTCCTCTGCTATGAAAATGTCTTAGTCTATTTTCTGTTGCTGTAACAGAATAGAACAGACTGGGTAATTCATAAAGAAAAACAGCTTATTTGGCTCACGGTTCTGGAGGCTGGAAAGTCCAAGAACATGACACTAGCATCTGGCTAGGGTCATCTCATGGTGGAAGGCAGAAGGGCAAAAGAGACAGTGTGAGGGGCAGACTCTTTTATAACCTTCTCTCATGATAACAATCCCACTCCTATGGCAGTGACATTAATTGATTCATGAAGGTGGAACCCTCATGAACCAGTCACCTCGTATTAGGTGCCCTCTCCCAAGACTATTGCATTGGGTATTAAGTTTCCAACACATAAATTTGGGGGACACATTCAAACCACTAACCTTCTAAGAGGCTAAACTTTGTATGTGTTCCATAATCTGTGTACTTGCTCATAGCAACAGTACGCATTTGAAAGCTTCAAATCAGGAGCCTTTCATTCATTCAACAAGCATGTATGAAGCACCTTTTTATGCAACTTGACTCAAGTTAGCTGCTGGGGACACAGAATGATGAGCCCCAGTTCCTTTCCTCAAGTTGCATACAGTCTAATTGCACAAAATGATCACTCTAGAATTCTAAGATTGACTTTAACTCATTGATTAATAGAACAGTGTCTCTAACCCACAGAGGCACAAAGGGCAGATTTTAGCTGCTTGACTATTTTGTCAGCCACAAAGCATAGACCATTGCTGGATTGTCCATTTTCTGGGCACATCTGTTTAGGAATTTTTTGTTTGCAAATGACAAACTATTCAACCCAAACAGCCCTAAGCAAAAGAGAATTTATTGGCTCACATGGATGGAAACTCCAGGCTAGAAATGGCTTCAAACCCAGGATGATGTGAGGATGTGAGTGTTGTCTCCGGCGTGCAGTTTTCTTCTTTCGGGTTGGCTCTACTTAGCTCTCTGGGTTGACTTTATGCTCAGACAGCTTGTCTGTTATTTTGTGGTTGCCCAGTGGCTGCTGAAGCTTCTGCTAGCTGCACCTCCTCAGCTTCAGTAGTCTTGGGTCTGATTCTCACTGATCAGAATTAAGCCACAGGTTTATCCCAAAAGCAGACCAAGGGGATGGAATAGACAAATGGCCTAAGCAACCTGTATTTTCAAGGGTGGTGTCAGTCCCCGCAAGACTTTGCATCAGGGAATAATACAAGTTGCCCAAAGGAGATTGTGGGGCTTCCCATGAAAAATAACAAATGGCGATGGTTTTCAATCTCTCAGTTTTAGAGTGGTTAGCTATGCAGCAAGAGCTAACTGATACACTAGAAAAATGCTCATGCAAATATGCTAGAATTTTGTGTTTGTTCATGGACTCTACGTTAACTTCACAATAATAAAGTTAATATCCATCAAGTGCATTCTGTATGTTGACACATTGCCAAGCACTTCATATGCCTTGCCTCATTGAATTCTTACAAACAACTTGTGGGGGTAGATTCTGCTAGCACCCCTAGTTAATAAATGAGAAGACTGACCCTCAGGAATTTTAAAATGCAGAGACTTTAAGCGCTTTCAGGCCAGCAAAGATTCCGTGACCCCCAAATGCCTAGCTGCAGGGAGGTCTGGTTGCCTTGACAACCACCTTAGAAGTAAGGTCTATCCCAGCTTCTCTCAGGAACCTATGATAGCTCTGTTACTCATCTATTTCTTTTAAGCCCTAACATTGAGAATACTTATCGATTCCTTGCATTAGTGCCACATGTGTCTTTACTGTTGTTGAGAACACTTTCTATTTTCCCATTTTTCTACTCCAACTCCCCCAAGAACATAGAGATTTATATTAGGTGGGATGTTCATTTTACAGATGGGGAAACTGAGGAACAGAGGAGATCCAGGGCTTGCCCCAAGTCCCAGGATCACAATGAGGGATATAAAGGGTCTCTGGCTTTCCTGGTCCCTGACCCATGCTCCCTAGACCCCAGCCACTCTCCCTCCACCCACCCCAAGCATCTCCCACTCCCATGCTTCACGCTTGCTGGGTGATTTGGATGAGCTTCAATCATGGGTGTAAGTGCAAAGGCTCTGGATTCAGACAGATCTGAGTGTGGATCCCAACACTGACTTCTATCAGCTGGTTGACCTTAGCAAGTGACAAAACCTCCTGGAGCCTCCATTTCCTCAGGAACACAGTGCTAAGAAGGCTCTGCTCCACAGAGTTGTTTGCGGTCTGGAGTGGATGATCTACATAACATCCCTGGACCATCCAGGCACTCAGCAAACGCTGCTGTGTTCATCCATGGTTGCTTCTGGTCCTTAAAGAGTTTCTGCTTCATCTCCGTGCTCTGCAGACAGGAAGAGCAGGTTGTTGGGCATCTGATGAGTGACTGAACCAAAGGAGCTCCAAGGAAAAAGCTTCAGTGGGATTTTGCCATTCATTGACTACCAGATTTGGGGAATGTCTCTTCCCCTGTCTGGGCCTCAGTATCCTCATCTGTAAAACAAGGGGGTTGGGGAAGCTGATCTTGATTATTTCCTCCAGCTCTGAGGGCTCACTTAGTGCCTTGGCAGAAGCACACAAGGGGGAGGGCAACCAGCCCCACCACACCCCCTCTGCTTTCTAAAGGGAGCTCCCTTGATGGCCATGTTTGGTATTGTGCTACCCCACCCCCTGACTCCACTGGATTGAGCCGAGGATGGCAGCTGATGCAACAGCAGTTGATGGTAGATTGGTTAGTCACCACGGCCCTTGGCAAAGCTGGACCTGCAGATGACCTTTCTTGGGAAGCTTGACTCAGAAGTAACAAATGACAGGCCCTGTAAGCAGGAGGAACAGAAGATGAGAGGCCACAATGACAAGGAGGTCAGAGGCAGAGAGGTGGCCCTTCTGCACCACAGGGAGGCTGAAGTCACTAGGGATGGGACTCTGTGAGCACAATGACAAAGCCAATGGGCAAAGCCAGTGGCAGAGATCACAGGCTTTGAGAACAAAGCCACCCAGTTCCCAGAGAGAGCTGGAAGCCACAGCTGAGTACCTGCCCCAGTGCCTGTTCCTCACTGGGAGACCTTACATTCAACCCTCCTCACTTGATGTGACTTGAGTGGGATTTCTGCTTCTTGCAATTAAAAGGAAAAAGGGGCTCACGCCTGTAATCCCAGCACTTTAGGAGGTTGAGGCAGGGGGATTGTTTGAGGTCAGGAGTTTGAGACCAGCCTGGCCAACACGGAAAAACCCCAACTCTACAAAAAATAGAAAACTTAAGCCAGGTGTGGTGGTGCATGCCTGTAGTCCCAGCTACTTAGGAGACTGAGGCAGGAGAATCACTTGAACCCAGTGGGTGGAGGTTGCAGTGAGCTGAGATTGCACCACTGCATTCCAGTCTGGGCAACAGAGCAAGACTCTGTCTAAAGCAAAAAAACAAAAAAAAAAACAAAAAAAAAAAGGAAAAAGTAGGCAGAATGATAATAGCCAACCTGTTTGAGCACTTACTCTGTTCTAAGCCCCTTCACATACAAAGGCCAACTCATTAGTCCTCTCGCCACCCTTTAAGCTTTGAGTACTAATGTTACTCAGCTTAACCTATGAGGAAATAGTACAGAGAGGAGTTAGGTAACATGTTAGGTAACTTGCCATAGGAGACACTACTTAGGCATCATGGAGCTGGGATTCAGAACTAGGCAGTCTCACTCTGGAGCTGGGTCTTCATTCTCTCTCTTAGGCCTGAGGATGAGGCAGGGCACTGGGTGTGATCTGAAACAGAGAGCTCCACCGAACTGGGAGTGTTTGACCCAAGATACCTCACCCAGAGGGAGTTTGTGCGTCCTTGGCATGGGGGGTGTTGTGGTGGGGTAGGTGGTCATCGGCTGCACACACAGCCCCCAAAGAAGGAGCAAGGATGGATGCAGGGTTTCACCAGGCCATCCTGCCCCAGGTTGCAGCCAAGGGTCAGGTCCTGCCTCTAACACGAGGGAGCATTTTATGTTGGGAAATTCCCTAGAGAGAGAGGTGTGCGGGGGTTGGGGAA